CTGTCACACAATTTCAAAGATCGACAAACTCTGTCACACAATTTCAAAGATTGACAAACTCTGTCACACCTGCTCAAGGGACAATATGGGCACTAGCAAGAGATTCAGCGCAGGCTTTTGCAGTAAATGAGCAGTCAAGCCAAACTGTCACTGTGGTCAAAGATGTGTCTAAAAAATCCTGGACTACTTCTGTCTGCAACACTGTTAGTTCGTTGATAGTTTTTGTAAGCTCGCCTGAGCTGAAAGTTCAAATAACCTTTTCTGATCACATTTTTTTTTGTAGTCCGTCTGTCCGTCTGTAAACTTTTTTTTTTTAATTTTTTTAGCTCGAAGGCTCAAGTGAGCTTTTCTGATCAAATTTTGTCCGTTGTCTGTCGTCGTTGTTGTCGTTGTAAACTTTTCACATTTTCATCTTCTTTTCATCCAAACTTTTGCACAAAGTATCCTTGGCTGAAGGGGAGTCAACTTTGTTCAAATGAAGGGCCACGCCCTTATTCAAGGGGAAATAATTAAGAAATAGTGAAAATTTGGTGGTATGTTTTAAAAATCTTTTTCTCAAGAACCACTGTGCCAGGAAAGTTGAAACTTATAGAGAAACATCCTCAGGTAGTGTAGATTCAAGTTTGTTCAATTAAATCATGACCCCCAGGGGTGGGGCAGGGAAACATTGATCGATCAAAGTTTTACATAGAAATATATAGGAAAATTCTTTTAAAAAACTTCTTCTCAAGAACCACTTTGCCAGGAAAGATGAAACTTATATGGATGCACCCTCAGGTAGTGTAGATCCAGGTTTGTTCAAATCATGACCCCTAGGGGTAGGACAGGGCCATAATGGCCGATCAACGTTTTACATAGAAATATATAGGAAAATTCTTTGAAAGTCTTCTTCTCAAGAACCACTGTGCCAGGAAAGATGAAACTTACAGGGAAGCATTTTCAGGTTTATTAAAATCATGACCCCCGGGGGTAGGGCGGGGCCACAATGGACGATCAAAATTTTACATAGAAATATATAGGAATTTTTTTTTAAATCTTCTTCTCAAGAACCACTTTGCCAGGAAAGTTGAAACTTATAGAGAAACATCCTCAGGTAGTGTAGATTCAAGTTTGTTCAAATCATGACCCCCCTGGGGTCACAATGGACGATCAAAATTGTACATAGAAATATATAGGAAAATTCTTTTCAAATCTTCTTCTCAAGAACCACTGTGCCAGGAAAGATGAAACTTATAGGGAAGCATCTTCAGGTAGTGTAGATCCAGGTTTATTCAAATCATGACCTCCTGGGGTAGGGCGGGCCACATTGGCCGATCAACGTTTTACATAAAAATATAGGAATTTTTTTTTTTAAATCTTCTTCTCTGGAATAGTAAAGGCATGAATGACATATTTTTATAGAAGCATCCTCAGGTAGTGGAGATTCAAGTTTGTTCAAATCATGACCCCTGGGGGTAGGGCGGGGCCGCAACATGGAAGCCAGATTTACATAGAAACATGTAGAAAAAATCTTTAAAATTCTTAATCTTTTCAAAAATAGCGAAACCGTGATTAGTCCTGTTCATATGGAAGCATTCTCAGGTTGTGTAGATTCAATTTTGTCCAAGTCATGACCCCTGGGGGTATAGGGCGGGACCACAATGTAAGTTCAAATGTAAAGGGCCAAATGTAAAGTCAAAGAAATATACAAGCATCCTTAGTTAGTGTAGATTCAAGTTTGTTCAAATCATGACCCCCGGGGGTAGGGCGGGTCCACAAGGGACAATCAAAGTTTTATATGAAATATATAGGAAAAATCTTTCAAAATCTTCTTCTAAAGAATAGCAAAGCCATGATTGGCCATATTTATATGAAAGATTCAAGTTTATTTTTAAATCATAACCCCCTAAGGGTAGGGTGGGGCCACAATGGCCAATCAAAGTTTTACATAGATATATATATGATCGAAAATCCTTAAAAAATCTTTTTTTTTCAAGGAAAACAAAGGCATAAATGATCATATTTATTTTGAAACATCCTCGGGTAGGGAAGATTTAAGTTTCTTCAAATCATGACCCCCCAGGGGTAGGGTGGGACCACAACGACTGGTCAAAGTTTAACATAGAAATATAAAGGAAAAATCTTTTTCTTCAAATTCATTGGACCAGGAAAGATGAAACTCATGTGGAAGCATCCTAAGGCAGTGTAGATTCAAGTTTATTCAAATCATGACCCCCAAGGATAGGGAGGGGCCACAATGCTGATCAAAGTTTTACATAGGAATACATATAGGAAAAATCTTTTAAAAATCTTCAAGATCAGCAACGCTATGATTGGTGATATTAATATGGAAACATCCTCAGTTAATTCAAGTTTATTATATCATGACCCCTGGGGGGTAAGGTAGGACCATAATGGGCAATAAAATCTTTACATAGAAATATATAGGAAAAATCTTTAATGGGAGACAGGGAACATGTCACATGACTAAAAATACATATTACGTCATAATCGGTTATGATATACATGTTAAACGTTGTTATTGTGTAATTTTATTCTAAATTCTAAAATTGTTTTTTAAACATTTAATTTTAGAAATTATTATTCATAAAATTTTTAAAGATCTTGCCATCATTTAGATATTGTGAAGTTGCCAAATCCACACATTTGTTTCTCTTTACCCTGCAGTCTGACGTCAGTGACACGTCATAGACGTAGTGTTTGAATATTCTCATTGCAGCTAGATCAAGTACATGTACACACACCCGTCATGATCAGTTTTATTTCATAATAAACAGGTCGATCACAATCAATGTATCGTGATAAATTCTGAAGCAGATTTTTTTAAATTAATATTTTTTTCGTGTTTAGTAACAGATATTCTCTCTATTTAGATAATTTTGAATGTTTGTGTTTTCGTGTGACGTCACATTAATTAATTTCCCGCACTCGGAAAATACAAACGTGAAGCGTTTTTTTTCATGCTTATGTCTAATTCAACGATGTCCTGTGCGATATTGAGGTAAGCTTCACCCTGAAGGACTGACATTAAATCGTAAATTTAGAAATATTTATTGACAGATTTTTTTTTCAAAATGAGGTTTTTGTCGTTGAAGCTGCCTTGAAAAATGCAAAAATGTTCCCACCCAAATACTATATAAAATCAAAGTACTGAAAGTACTGTTAGACAGAGGCTTCATGGATGAGAGAACACAAAAGAAATATATTTGTCATACATAGCTGTATATATATAGAATATTATGAGGAATAATGTGTATTTTTTTTTCAATTCAACATTTTTTAAAATGATACTCCAATATTCATGAGGTTGTTGGGATATTATAATTTCATCTTTGTAATGTAAACTTCACCTTGATTAAAGTTCACTGTTATTTAGATCAAATGGGGCCAATTTCATTTGTCACTGATCGGCGTACGCCGAATTGCGCCGGTCATATGACCGGCGTAAAACGGCTAAGAGGCAAATGAAGTAAACCGGCGAAAACATTTTTTGAAAATGAATAATTACGCTAAATGACAATCAATTAATTAAGTTTTATCACTTTTTACATTATGTCTAAGTAGAATAATTCGAAATTCAATCTAAAAAAAAATCATGGACCTCATGAAAAATTTTATTTTTTAGAAAACAAAAACATATTTTAAATATATGAGTAGAGATTGCTCAAAATATGCAAACAAATAAAGAACATGTCGACTTGGTAAAAAGTATCTGCATTTTCACAGTTGTTTTCTCTTCCCGCCATTTCTCTAAGACCGCGCGGCGATTTCCTCACCGGTCATTTCAGACCGGCGAGATCGGCGTACGCCGGCGAAGCTTCCCCGGTCAAATGAAGTAACAAGCCGGGTTACGAAAGGTCAAGCGGCGCATTCGGCGTACGCCGGTATGACAAATGAAATCCTACCATTCTTTCAATATTAAACACTTCAACGTAAGAAACAGTAATTGACTAGGCCTGGTTGACATAAAACTTTGACGGGCTCACTTTTTATCTCAGTCTCACTTAAGGAATATATAGTGGAAAAGTGAGACTGAGATCAAAAGTGAGCTTGTCTAAGTTTTATGCCCCCAGGCCCGGTTTGATGAATGTAGGTCTAGTATGTTCTAGTCATGAGCCCACTGGCAGATTTGGAAGGGGCCCCAGGCCCCCTCCCCTTCGAGTCCCAAAAATACACAATATTTGATAAATGAATCCAGAAATATTAGTTGTCAAATTTGTCAAGATATATCTTTGTTATTGTAAGCAATACTCTAGTTCTCCAAAAACAAAAACTTGTGAAATAACAAGTCTTATGAATTTTATTGTTCTGTTTACATAAAGTAAGAAAGCATAATATTTTATTCCACTCAAAAAATTGTGTTCTGGCACGAATATTTATTGCATGTTATTGAAGTTGTATTACTTAAAGGCAGAGATTTTAAGCACCGCCTTCAAAAATACCTGGTCTGGGTAGCCCTGTCATTCAAGTGCATGAAGGTCCATCATTGGATGCTGGAACTTGATTGACACTTACTTACTGGTCTCAGTGTATACCCTGAACACCTTGTTTGGGACTCGTGGTGACCTTCTAATTAACATTTGATCCTTTGATGTTTACTGGGTGAACATAGTATATAGAAACTGTATAACTATGAAATTTTTAGATTATATATGAATTAAATATACTCTTAGTATTTGAAAGGATTATAATATAATATGCATTAAAAAAATAACCTTTGGCACATAAAACTTTTTTTCCAAATGAAATTTCGATTTTTAATTTTTATATGCTAAATGGTAAACCTTAAGTGAAAATGTTATTAAGTTCAGAGAAGCGCTGTGTGAAGTACTATGATATTACCTTCTATCTCTATATGACCTTAATATTACCTTCTATCTTGATATGACCTTGATATTACCTTCTATCTTGATATGACCTTGATATTACCTTCTATCTTGACATGTTAAGTACACCGAATCCCCCCCCCCTTCCCCTAGATCATGCTCATATTGTACATTGTGATTTCTGTTTCTTACTTGGCTCCTTTCTGTGGCTTTGGTTTCATTTTTTGAATCAACCTGAGCAGATTTGCAACCAGTGAATCCTAAAAATAATCAAATATTTACAACATCAATAAATTTGTAACAGAACTCAACAGAAAAGCTTTATTAAATGAATTTTAATAATATGCTTGTTCTACAACTCAAATTGTGTGAAAATTGGTTCATTTATCATTTTTCCCTTTCCACAAAAAACTTGTGGTAAAACTGTTATTTTAATAATCATGATAATTAAAATTATCATAACCTTGTAAAAGAAAATTTTGTCAATTTCACATGTACACATTACAATGATTACTTTCAGTTACATAAAAATATGATATATATTACTTCAATTTCCATTACCCTCATGATCCCTGACCTTGCATATTTCAATTTTAACACTTCACCAAAGAAATAATGCATAACTTTTATAGAAATTAAGTACAGTCAAGTAAACTCCATTTCTTACTGCAAACTCTGCACCATTTTCATCCAGAGCTTTTTTTAACTTCTCATAAGTATTGTTCTTTTCTGCCAGATGTATGATAAATTCAGCTGGAAAAAAACGAAGAGATGTGAGAAGTTTGAAATCCATTGTGTTAACTTTTAACATTAATATGAAAAATATACCCCGGTATTAAAATTAATCTTTATTTCAGTAAACTGAATTGGATCAAAGAGGAAGATTTAACCATTGTAAATATTGGGAAATTAAACTTAATATATTTGGTGAATTGGCTGCACAAATGCACAAGATTGAACTCAATCTGCATTTATGGTGGTAACAAAAATTTCCAAGGAAAAAAAAAACTCTCCAAGATTTAATTGATAAAGCAGACATATTATTGAAGTTTAAACATTCTTCATTTAAATTAGTATGGTTCAGACAATGAATCGGTAATTCAATTTACCTGCAAAGTCATTTGATGTAAGAGTCTAGATGTTTCAAATGTTGTTTGAAGAGTTTTAATCATAAGCGACAAATATTATATCGCGAGTGCTGCTTCGAACGAAGTTACACTATCATTTCTCACGTACAACTATTATGAGGAATCTACAGTACATTCTGTTTATAACATGGCATTTATAAATTACATGTATTCTTTTGCTAATATCAAGCCTAATATGTGACTGACAGGGTAATCTCAATTAATATCTCATATGTTTTTCTTAAAAGAAATGTTTGCTCTCGTACTTTTTTCATTAAAATGGGGAGTATTAAGGGAGTATTCACAATAGGTGGTCATACTTTCTAACAAATATATACATAATGTGTATAAATACATTAAATAGCCATTTCCATTTAAAAATCTTGGTTATATAAACAGGTTCTTGCCCGTCGTAACTGGATAATGTAGTGGAAAGAAATATTACATCATCTTCATTTGGAGAAAATTTGAGTTTCGACTTTAGGCACCATTTTCATACCTAAGTTAGTGGTTAGAGCATCTGCTCTAGAGTCGCAAAGTAAGGAGTCAATACTTACGTCGCGGGTTTGAATCCCAATGAGGGATGTGGAGACCGGTCCTTCGGATGAGACCGTATAAACCGAGGCCCCATGTCAAAGACAAATATATAAAACCATAACGCTACAGATCTGCAGCTAGTGCCGGCACGAAAAAGATCCCTCACTGCTCAAAGGCCCTGAGTGCCGAGCATAGGACAAAATTTGTAGCCCTCCACCGGCAAGTGGTGGCGTCTCCATATGAGTGAAAAATTATCGAGAGGGACGTTAAACAACATACAATCAATCAATCATACCTAAGTCCTTGTCGTTTAGTCCCAAATGGTTCTCAAGTTCTGTACAAACTTTAGATACGAGAGACAAATACTCAAGTTTTTGCAACTCGTCCATCTTTTTCTTTAGGTGGAGTTCGCGTGCCAACTATTTTCACTCAAGTTGAACTATAGTTAACCTGAACGCATATTAGTTTGCCGGAAGTGAACCAGTCTAGTCGAAAAACACGAGCTATTCTCCCGCGTACTAGTTGTCTTGTTGAAAGATGGCTGACATCGTCTGAAAGGTAGATGTTGCACAGGAATAAAAATGAATTTTAACGATTATCTCTAGAGATTCATAATAGATTGCACGTGTTTTTTTATTATTATGAAAGCTCAAACTGATTTATAAATTTTTTTGCAGATTATGGCCAGTGATCAAGTGGTAAATTCTAACGTTACGTGTAGTGAGGTAGATCAGCTTAAAATTGCATTTTGGACGTGCGTTTTATGTCATACCGTTGATGTGAAAAGCGTTCCATCATTAGAAAGACAGAGACAAGCTCGGAAATCAAAAGTAGCTGTAGACGGCGAATTCAGGTACGTAGATCAGAGAAATATGCATGAATTATCCAACAGAATGGCCAAATGAGTCTAGTATAAGTCTAGTAGTCCTGAATGGCCTCATAAATGTATGAGATTAGAAAGAAAAAAATTCCTGTGTTATAAAATTGATGAAATATTCGAATATCAAATATCTCTTTTTAATTAAAAGAATTAAATGTATGAATTTATGTTTATCTACCACTAATTTCACTTAAAGTTATAAAGGTCATTAAGATACAATTTTTGCAAATTCCATTAAAATTACTCATCTGTGATATTTTTAAGAATAATCCTGAGGTGCGATTTTTGTCATTTGGCATTCCATGCAAGCTGTGCAGGTTTTGAAGTTGAGTTTCTTCTGACTGGAGACACAGACTCGGAGGAAGTTTTATGCAACCAGTGTGCAGAAAATGGACAGGTGAATCGAGACTCATTGTTTCTGAACTTTTTCATGTTTCTATTCAGTTAAAAATGAAAATATCTGAGCATTTAGCACACACAAAAAGGCATTCCTTAAAAAAAAAGATCAAATTCATTTGAAAGTAGGAAGTGCATAGTAGTACAAAAAATGTAGTACTACTAACCTTTTTTTTTTACATGTCTGTTTTAGCATACTAAACAAATAAAATCTTATACATTATGCATGCAATAGATTTGAGGGAGTTTTTTCAAATTATAAATGTATTTTTATAAGTCAAGTTTGTTGACTCTTTGAAATATATAACTATACATCATAACATTTGAGATGCAAGTGTTCACTTCCATTTGTAGGATGATCGAACTAAAAGTAACAAAGGGCGGAGTAATCAAGAAAATTAATGTCACTCAGAACATGGCCACAATGCTTTTTTCAGATGGAATAGGTAAATGTTTTACCACCCAGACTGTATCATTGCAAACCACAGTTGTAATTGTCAACTGAATTGTCAACTCAAGAACTTGTATGGAGTCAACCAAACTAAAATATTAAGGCTGGCTTTGAAAGTTCACAAGTTGAATGGTCATTCTTAAATGTTTATCTATCTCTTAACCTGTCCTCCTTCACTTTTATTATATGTATCAAATAAAATTAATTCATATAATAGACATGTAGGTGCTTTACTCACTAGCAGCATCTGAAAAACACTGGAAAACAAAATTTTTGAATCAATGTAGGTCATTGCATCCCTTCCTTAGTATGTTTTTGTTACTGTTACAATATGTACATTTATCATGTTTATGTGGCACAAATATTTTCTGCTACAGACAAGTTAACTAATTTGATAATTCTTTTTCATTTAGATGCAGGATCAAAACAAAGGCTTGTTGAGAACATTTTGAGTGAACAGAAAAGATCAGAAAATACACAGCAAAGAGAATCATTGCCATCATCAGAAAGTATACAGCAAAGAGAATCATTGTCATCATCAAAAAGTATACAGCAAAGAGAATCATTGTCATCATCAGAAAGTATACAGCAAAGAGAATCATTGTCATCATCAGAAAACTCTCTGCAAAGCACATCATCTGATTGTCAAGAATTAAGTAGCAGTTTCTCTTCACCAGAACCCGTTTACCAGAGGCCAGAGTGGACAGAATCTCAGGAATCCTTGCTTATTGACCTAAGGCACGAAATGGATAAGTCATTTACAACAACTAGAAATCATCTTTCCCTCTGGCAGAAAATTACGGAAAAAATGCAAGAAATTTTGAATGTATCAATTTCCACCACTCAGGCAATGTATAAGTACAATGCATTAAAAAAAAGTGGAAAGAGATCATTGACAGCCCAACTGGTTCCGCTGCAAAAAAATTTGTTCACAAAAGAGTGTTTGATGAGCATTATGGTACGAAGTGTCGTAAACCAGCGTATGTAATAGATACAGATAAAAGAGAAAGTCAAAGCACAGAGTCTGATTCAACAGAGAGTCAAAGCACAGAGTCTGATTCAACAGCAAGAAAAGCAGAAAAAAGTAAACCAAGAAAAGGAAGGAGAGATGAAGAGGAATTTGCGAGTTTATTAGAGAAACATCATCAAGATTTCACTAAAATGCATACAGAAAAAATGGAAAGATTTGATAAACTTATCAGTTTAATTGAGATGGACATTAAGAGCAAGAAAAATTGATTATGTGGAACTATGCAAGCAGAGCTGTTTAATTATGCATTGCCAATTTCTGAAATATGTGTGCAAGATTTTTTTATATACTAAAGGATTCACCTTTAATTTTTTTTTCAGAAAGTTTCCTTAGTGATTTTGTAATTTTACATTACTTTGTTGAACATGTTGAAATTTGTTATCAATTTATGGTACATTGATCTGTTAACATGTATACTAAGCTATATTGCCTTACATGAGTTGTGTGTACAATTGTTTTGAGATCAGTGGTTTTGTTCTAATCAAACTACACACATGTTTATTGCCTATAAGTATATTTTTGCAAAGCTGACGTGTGAACAAGACTGATGAAACGTAAATTGATGCAGTTGTTTGGTCACTAAAGTTACATGTACTTACCATACAATGTATTTCAAGATTGGGGTCATAAAAAGAATGTAAAATCCAACAAATAATGGATTCTTTAAAGATTATTATTTATAGAACTCTTTCAATGTTTTCTGAAATCTACTTGTAAATGTTTAACTACCATGCCTAGTCCCCTTTGCCATTGTAGACCCTGTTTAAATATTATTTGAGTTGTAAAATAATATGGTCTCTAAAGAAAGAGTTTAATACTTAAAAAATTGTTTTATTTCAAATGGGATTGACCTGATTTTATTCTTCATTTTGTTGATATATATGTGAATGCACTGTTGCATATATTTTATTTACCAAAGTCTCTTTCATTCCATAATGCCATTCACAGATAGTGATTTTGTTATGTTCTTTTTGTTATAAAATAAAAAAAAATGTTTTCTAAAAATTTTATTTTTGGAATACTGTTTTACACCTGGAATATTTATACAGACAAGGTAAATTCAATGAAGTTTGTAGCGTTTAAACTTGTAGAGCCTGTACCAATTCCGTTCTGCGCACAATTCCACTAAGTCCATCATGAAACACGTTTTGGCACTGGTTCGCATCAACATCTTCTTCTAGTTCTACATCCAACTGTTGTTCAACATCGTCACTGTTCATAATGCACATATTATGCAATACAGATGTAACAATTATTAATTTGGTAATGACCTCGGGGTTCATTAGTGGAACATCTCTTAGGATTCGGAATCTCGTCTTTAGTAGACCAAATGCTCTCTCCACTGATTGTCGTGCGCTTGAAAGTGTTTTGTTAAATTGAATAACCTCTGGCCTTAAGGTAGGATTCTTCTCTGGTTTCTGACAAGATGAAACATTCAAAGTATATTTGCTTATATGTCTTATATATTGAGGTGTAAGGAATTTAAAAGATCATATTTCTCTTTCCTCATCACAATTGTACAACTTCAAATAGAAATGGTAAACTGCGTTTAAAAACTAGCAGGGACTATATTTTTGGCGGAATGGTGGCGTATGAAAATATCTTCTTTTCTGCCTCTCATAATTATAACAAAACAATGAATTTAGTTATAATTTTTACACATCGAAGTCTTGGAGAAATTTTCAAATGTAAGTTAGATTAATAATGAGGGACTAAACTTTCAAAATCTATCAAATAAATATGATTTTCCAAACAAATTAGAACTTTATTAGCTTTTAAACGCTTCCTATCAAAGTGCAGATTTGAGCCAAAAATCCATAAAAAGTATTTTTTCTCTCTTAGTAAACGATCAAAACTTTTTGTTTTTGTATCATTTTGTACATTTATAGGACTTCTTTATTATATGTGAAAATGAGAAAAAGTTAAATATAGGAAGCATATGAAAATAACTAATATATCCTAAAAAATTAAGAAAAACAGAGAAAATTCGGATTAGCCAATATCAAGTTAAGTTAAATTATTTATGTAAATTTGGTAATATCATGCTGCAGAACCTATATAGTAATATGTTTTTATGCAAAAAGAACAATCATTAAACTTTTGAAATAGAAGTAGGTATCACATGATTGGCAACAGTTATTTTTTATTCTTAATGTCAAGGAAAAAGATAATGACCTTGACCTGACCTTGCCTCTAATATAAAACGGTCAAATTTAATTGCACTGATACTATCACTTACTGGTATTGTGTTCTTGATTCTGTGAAAATTTCATTAATTTTTAAATATTAGAAATATGAGAAGAATCCTACCTTAAGTGTCCATAATTTTTAAATGGTGAAATCAGCCAGTTCCTCAGTGGGTATGCATTGTCGGCTAGAAGATGATGCCCTTGGATAAACAGTTCCCCAGCCTCTGCTTTATGATAGAGATGTGAATTTCTCAAAACCCTAGCGTCGTGGGTGCAGCCTGGCCATCCACTGTACGCACTTATGATGTATAATTCATGGTCAACTGCTGCCTATTAAAAAGAGCGTTTTAAAAATTTCAAGTTCAAATAAGTTATAATTTAAAATGTTAAACATAAGTGTTAAACATAAATCAAGGTTCTATTAGTTGTTTTTTTTTTTGTAATGATAATGTTGAAAGAACATATTTGTATTCAATCACTTAATACCTGAAGTTGGATAGATGGGAAGCCTTTTCTGTTGTAATATTCTTTCTCACCACCTGGAGCATGCGTTAATCGTATGTGGGTGCCGTTGTCGCATAATATACGTTCCGGGTAACTTAGCGTTCCGGCCGGAACGCTAAATACCTATAATATTGGTTCCGGGCCATAATAAACGTTTCGGCCGGCGTAAGATTGGTTCCGGTCGTACAAAACGTTCCGGGCAACCAAGCACCCTATTAAACTCTCTATTTATATTTAATATTGGCTGTTAATTTTAATTTTCTTCTTTCTTTTATACCTTCGTATATGATACAGCAGGATTTAATCGTAAGACAACATATATGTTTACATTTCAAGTCAGAATATGCGGTCTTTTTACCAGAGACATTATATATTTATTGATGCCTCTGATTTAAATATATTAATCCACGAAATTCCAGTTGATTATTTTGATTCTTTGTAAACAAAAGAAGGTGTGAAACTTGTTTACATTGACATACCCCCATCGTGCTGTTTTACGACACACTTGGCTTCTATCGATACGAATAATTGCGCAGTCTTGCGAATCGCCGTAAGCACACATGACCACCCTGATCAGATGATAATGTTGATAGATTAATTATATTTACGATAAAATACTTTAATTATTAGGTAATATATTTTAATTTCCTTACATTTTTTTAAACACCCATACATGTAGTTGCGTTTTTTTTTAACCAAATAATTATATTAATAAATTAAAATACAAGAACATAATGGGAAACGAGTGCATGCCGGATCTAAAAAGGGAATTTATAATTTAAGCATTTAACATGTTTAATACGAAGGAAAAGTGTTTCCCGTTTGTTGATTATTTTTCTTCGTCAGGTGAAGTTTTTTTTCTTTTTTTTTTTTAAAATTTTAATGTTATATGTCAACAAAACATGCACATGATCAACTTGGAAATGTTTCAATGACACGGCTAAAAACTTTTGAATAAAATTCAACTCATTTTTAGCTCACCTCAATGAAGTTGGGGGAGCTTATGTAATACCCTCGGCGTCGGTGTCGGCGTCGGCGTCCCGGGTTAAGGTTAAGTTTTTTGGAGCAGTTTTCTTTTTAAGTACTTCTATGTCCTATATTGATTAGACATGCATGGAAGATGGTTCTAGTGTGTTTCATTGTACCAGTCAAAGTTTCAGATGCTGCAATTTCAGCAAAGGAATGACCAGGTTAATGTTTTGGAGCAGGTTAACATTTTTGGTGCAGTTTTTGGTGTAGGTTTCATTTCCAAGTAACTATAAGCCCTATGTTGACCAAACTTGCATGGATGATACATCTAAGGATGCATACTACCGGGCTTGCTTCGGATGCTGATTCTGACCTACATTTTCCGGTTGAGTGAACAGGTTAAAGTTTTTGGTGCAAGTTTCATTTCCAAGTAACTATAAGCCCTATGTTGACCTAACTTGCATGGATGATACATCTAAGGATGCATACTACAGGACTTGCTTGGGATGCTGAATCTGACCTACATTTTCCGGTTGAGTGAACAGGTTAAAGGTTTTGGTGCAGGTTTCATTTGCAAGTAACGTTAAGTCCTATGTTGACCAAACTTGCATGGATGATACATCTAAGGATGCATACTATAGAGTTTGCTTCGGAATCTGAATCTGACCTACATTTTCCGGTTGAGTGAACAGGTTAAAATTTTTTATGCAAGTTTCATTTCCAAGTAACTATAAGCCTATAAGGTTGACCAAACTTGCATGGATCATACATCTAAGGATGCACACTTCCGTGCATGCTTCGGATGCTGAATCTGACCTACATTTTCTGGTTGAGTGAACAGGTAAAAGTTGTTGGTGCAGGTTTCATTTCCAAGTAACTATGAGTTCTTTAATGACCAATCTTGCATGGATGATACATCTAAGGATGCATACTACCAGGCTTGCTTCGGATGCTGAATCTGACCTACTTTTTGTGGATGAGTGAAAATGTTAGTTTTTGATGCATGTTTCATTTCCAATTAACTATGAGCCCTATAATGAGCAAATTTGCATGGACGATACATCTTTGGATGCACACTAATGGACTTGCTTCGGATGCTGAATTCGACATACATTTTTCAGATAATAGACCAGGTAAAAGTTATGGGTGCAGGTCTATTACCAAAAAACTATAAGGCTTATATAACATTGTATAAACCAAACTTGCACAAATGTTGCATCAAGAGATGAAAACTCTCAAATTTGCTTCAGATGCTGGATTTTGATTACATTTTCATGAAGAAGAACTAGTTTAAATTTTTTATGTAGGTCTATTGCAAAGTATCAGATCAAAATTGCTTAAATATTTTCATATTTGGAATGTACACTTTTTGTTGGTTAATTGTGTGACTTTGCCTTACTTAAAGACAACATTCGTTGAGGTGAGCTCTGTAATCTCTGATTACCTATGTTTATTTATGCACGAAAGTACAAGTACATTTGAATTCATTTGTAAAAATAACACTGAAGAAGAAATGTATTACAAACACAGATCTGTATTTTACTATTTATATGAATAGCATTGTGAAGTCTGCTCACCCCCCCCCCCCCCCCCCCCCCCCCCCCCCCCCTTCCCCTGCAGTGAACAATAGACAAAAAACTTGATTTGCTTGGTATGAAATTTTCCATATTTTAATTAACAATTTGTTAAATGTATTCAACAAACAAAGGAGTGGGGAAGGCAACCGCGAACGTTTGTTCTATCGCCTACCTGATTTTTCAAAAGACATCTTTGAATGACTTTTCCTATAGATATAATGGGTTTTTTTTTTACGAACTTTCAAAAACTATAATTATTTGGAAAAGAAGAAATTGTTTCTCTTTAATTCTGATAAAACGTGTATTTCCGCTCTAGAACTCGATGGGAATGTAAAATCTTAATTTAAAATGAAAACCTGCAGGCATGCATGAAGCTATCTTAGGACTAAGACATCTCTTAAGACGAACTTACGACATATCTTAGTCTTAAGTGAGGCCATCGAAGCTATCCTATCTTAGGAGACCTCCTAATCTTAGTCCTAACTTTAAGATGACTGCGGACATGTCATATCTTAGGTGATTTTAAGAAACGCTGGTGTCAGGAAAACAATTAAGAATGTTTTTCGTTTAAATAAATCAACTATTTACTGTAAATTAATGATTTCTTTAATGAACTAAATCCATTTATGAACATCATACTGTGTGAATATATGTATATACAAATAGAAATTGAGAGAACAGTTAATAAGAATGCGCTCATTGACATCTATGCATTTAAAGATTAAAACATTGAAAAAGATTTATTCAAGCCCTTTCTAAGTAGATAAAAAAATACAATTGATTGTTTTTTATTGGGACAAAAACGGAGGGATAGGGGGGATACATTCAAAAGATCTAAACCAATCTGCTGCGTTTATTGGTTTAAGCCGATGTAAATAATAAAAACAGCAGAGAAACAACACATATTCAAAAAATTAAAGAAAGTTTATAGAGGTGACTTCCTCTTCGTGGAAGAGGGAGAGAAAGAGAGAGTTTGTTGATCAACTTGGACAAAAAAACAAGAAAAGATGTTACATGTATGCCTTATATCTTTTCTAAAATACTTATCCAATAATACAAACAACTATGAAAAGAAAAGTTACTTGTATATTGTCATGTAGCTCCGTTTTTCTGTTTCTGCTAAATGTAAACTAGATTGTACACAAATAACTCTATTTTAATCTTTTTTTTTTTACACAAAACTTGGATAAAAATGGACTAATCTGCTAAAGATATATTGAATAGAAATCGATTAAAATGAATTTTAAAAAAATACTTAAACATATCAGTCTTAAATTCAAACATGCTTCTAAAAAAAGGAATAGGGATGCACCCAATAAAGAAGTACTAACTAAGAAATGTTCTTAATAAATAAGGAAAATAAAAACTTTAATCGTCTCCAAACCTGATTTTTTTTTGGGGGGGGGGGGGAGGGGGGGTCACATATATGATTATACAAAACATGTATTCGAATATGGTTTTAGATGCTAGATTTGCTCGCTTACTCGCTAGTAGCTACACTAAAGGTAGCGAGTATGCGAGTGGATCAAAATTTAATTCGATTGTTTTAACTAAATTCTTTAAATAACTAAGGGGAGCTAACACACCCGTCCTTCTACATCTACACATGATGGTAACTTGAAATAGGAAGTTCAGTAATTGCAACCCGGAACGTTTATTATGAGCATAATTTTTAGTTCCGGACTAACTTAGCTTCGTAAAAAGGGAAAACAAACAACTAAGTAGCTAAAATATATGAAATATCTTTCAGTAATTGCAACCCGGAACGTTTATTATGGGCATAATTTTTGGTTCCGGCCGGGCTAACTTAGCTTCGTAACAAAATGGAAAACAAACAACTAAGTAGCAAAAACATATGAAATTTCTTTCAGTAATTGCAACCCGGAACGTTTATTATGACCATAATTTTTGGTTCCGGGCTAACTTAGCTTCGTAACAAAATGGAAAAGAAACAACTAAGTAGCTAAAATATATGAAATATTTTTCAGTAATTGCAACCCGGAACGTTTATTATGAGCATAATTTTTGGTTCCGGGCTAACTTAGCTTCGTCAAAAACTGGAAAACAAACAACTAAGTAGCTAAAATATATGAAATATCTTTCAGTAATTGCAACCCGGAACGTTTATTATGGGCATAATTTTTGGTTCCGGGCTAACTTAGCTTCATCAAAAACTGGAAAACAAACAACTAAGTAGCAGAAATATATGAAATATCTTTCAGTAATTGCAACCCGGAACGTTTATTACGACCATAATTTTTGGTTCCGGGCTAACTTAGCTTCGTCAAAAGCTGGAAATGTAACAACTAAGTAGCAAATAGATATATATGAGATATCTTTCAGTAATTGCAACCCGGAACGTTTATTATGGGCATAATTTTGGTTCCGGGCTAACTTAGCTTCGTCAAAAACTGGAAAACAAACAACTAAGTAGCAAAAATATATGAAATATCTTTCAGTAAGTGCAACCCGGAACGTTTATTACGACTATAATTTTTGGTTCCGGGCTAACTTAGCTTCGTAACAAAATGGAAAAGAAACAACTAAGTAGCAAAAATATATGAAATATCTTTCAGTAATTGCAACCCGGAACGTTTATTATGGGCATAATTTTTGGTTCCGGGCTAACTTAGCTTCGTCAAAAACTGGAAAACAAACAACTAAGTAGCTAAAATATATGAAATATCTTTCAGTAATTGCAACCCGGAACGTTTATTATGGGCATAATTTTTGGTTCCGGGCTAACTTAGCTTCGTAACAAAATGGAAAACAAACAACTAAGTAGCAAAAACATATAAAATTTCTTTCAGTAATTGCAACCCGGAACGTTTATTATGGGCATAATTTTTGGTTCCGGGCTAACTTAGCTTCATAACAAAATGGAAAAGAAACAACTAAGAAGTTAAAATATATGAAATATCTTCAGTAATTGCAACCCGGAACGTTTATTACGAGCATAATTTTTGGTTCCGGGCTAACTTAGCTTCGTCAAAAGCTGGAAATGTAACAACTAAGTAGCAAATAGATATGAAATATCTTTCAGTAATTGCAACCCGGAACGTTTATTATGGGCATAATTTTGGTTCCGGGCTAACTTAGCTTCGTCAAAAACTGGAAAACAAACAACTAAGTAGCAGAAATATATGAAATATCTTTCAGTAATTGCAACCCGGAACGTTTATTATGAGCATAATTTTTGGTTCCGGGCTAACTTAGCTTCGTCAAAAGCTCGAAATGGAACAACTAAGTAGCAAATAGATATGAAATATCTTTCAGTAATTGCAACGCGGAACGTTAAATATGATCATAATTTTGGTTCCGGGCTAACTTATCTTCGACACAAAGTGGAAGAGGAACTTCAAAATAGCAAAAGATTTTTAAAATAACTCTCAGTAACAGTCAACCAGAAATATGACCATAATTTGGGTTCCATTCTGAGTTATCATAGTCAAAGATTGGAAAAGACAGACAGACAGCCCGAAATACAGGTATACAGACAAAAAACCTTTGAACTATAGGAAAGAAATTTTAAAAACCTCCTATGGCCTAAAGAAAGCCCTAAAGATTTTGAGGTCAAAGGTCAAGGTAATGAATTCATAAATTATTTTTAACATTTTCGTTTCCACGCGATATATATGGAGAGAAGCCTTTGAGTGGAATTTTATACCACAACTCCCTATGTCCTATTTATGAGGAAGGTCTCTAAACTATTGGTTTTGAGGTCAAAATTTCAAAGGTCAACATCGTTAATTCATATACCTGTATTTGTATATTCTTTCTGGGTGTAAAACTTTCATTTCTGGCCATGGACGATATCTCAAGAAGCGTTTACGATTTTGCAATGAAATGTCATACCATAACTCCCAAACACACACCCGTCTTAACCCCCCCCCTTCGGTTCGTGCATGCTCTTCTTTTCCGTAATGCGGGGGACATAGATTCTCTGAATTAGCTTGTTTTATAAATCATGTTTGCATGACCTTGGGTATTAATGAGAACATTTTAAAACATTCTTTCTTTACACTTGTATTTCCATGTTAGCTTCTGTTTTCCCAAAAATCACCCCCTCCCCCTTTAGACACTTGTTTCCGCTATCCCAGTTGGTTCTACGGATCCATTTTGTTCTGCATGTATAATATTTTAATTAAAAAATATAATTTTATTCCCTATAAATTGTGGTCCCGTCTTACCTTCAATTGCCACGATTTGTGCAAACAAGCATCTACAATATGCCATGATCCTGCTACGTAATTTTCTTCTTTTCTACAACAGTGATGCTCCAGAAAAAATAAAAATTAGATAGAACTCTATTCCATGTTTTGCAAATTAATAATTAAAAATTAAATAAAACTTTTACATTTTTGCAACTGTTATAATTGAAACTTCCCCATAACAAAATGTTGGAATATTGATAAACAACTTTTCATTTTGTGGGGCTGTTGAAATACAATCTCCATTTTCTTTTAAATTGGAGAAGGGGTGAGATTTTTAAAACACGTAGCGCAGCTACATGAACATTATTGCAGTTTACCTTTAACCTACATGTACCTGTGTAAATGTGCATTTTTTTTAACCTTCATGTATTTATTTAATATTTTTCTCCGAAGCACTGTACTGTACCTACATGTAGTATGAAGATTAATTTAGAAGAAAATAAACCATATACGTAACATTCTTCAACAGTGAATCATATACATATTTCAAATGGAATATAAACCATATTATCATGCCATTTCATCAATAATACCTAATTATGAAAAAAAATCTTTAATTATGAGGAATATGGAAGCCGTGTTTGAGCCTCGACTTGGTGAAATGTCAACACGTGTAATATCATTTAAACAGAGAATTTAATTCCGTAAAATATAATTATCAATATTTGTTTTCTACTTTTATCGAATTCTGAAATAAAAAAAATTATCAATTAATTAATTCTTTGACATTGTGTTTCTTTAAATGTTAGTCTTTCGTAATCCCGGTCTTAAATTGTTTATCTCCTAACCATGCTCTTTACCTGTCTTTACGGGTTTGCGTGCATTGAAGCGAGAGATTCACACCTGGCATGCACTAAATAAACAAAAGGAATTGAGTTGTAGATAACCGATTTGTATACATAAGATAAACAAAGCCTTATAATGCGACCAAAGTCATATACATGTATCAGAAAGAGTATCATCAGGCTATTTATGCATCTATTTTTTAAAATTGGTAAGAACAAAACATTGTGCGACGCACGAAAATACATGTAGAATGTCGCTGCGTCATGCTTAAACCACAAGAAAAAAAACCCACTACTTCCATGACTCAATGTGGAATGAAATCTGGACAGATACCGCGATTCAAAGATTGAACTCAAGGCCGGAACCTATATTACAGTAAAATCCGGAACCAATATTATGATTTTAAGGTTCCGGCCGGAACGCGAAACACCCGGAACGAATATTATGCGACACCGTCTAAAAAGCCTAGCTACTACTCCGGGAATACCATACTTTTCATGAACGTCTCTTCCAATTTCTCTCTGTCTGTCCGGTGACGGCCAACGAATTATCTAAAAACAAGAGATATTTGTATATTATACCCATAATTCTGTTAAAATAATCCGACATCAATCACATGTGATATGTCGATATACCAGTATTACAATTTTAAAAGATCCAAGTTAGCCCCTACACTTTTTTCAATAAAAAAGATTTTTTTCAATACACGGGAAAGAACCGAATCCAAACTTTTTTTTTAAAGAAAAGGCTTCAGTGCCTATGTAAAATAAATTTTAGTACATGTACTTACACGTGTACGCAGTTTCAGCAATGAATTGATTACACGGTTTATAATATCATGAACAGTGGCCTTGGACATTCCGAAAAAGTGTGCACAATTTCTCATGGAATGCTGATTTCCAACATAATTAAGAAAAACCAGTAGTTGTCTGTCAGGTGAAATAGGTACATTACCACCGGTGTTGTAATGTATTAGATCAAGCGCAATTTCTGCCAATATAACTTCAAAAGTCTGTTTACACATTCTGTAATGAAATTTGAAATCGTCGATATTTTCTACTGTACTCATTTGGTCCACCACTTCCATGTAGTTATTGATTTTCGGCACACTGTCTCTTGATGTACGAGTTAAAAGACGAAACAATTTGTTGTAGCATAAGTGTTCAAAGAAGTAAATTTCCTCTTCATACTCATCAAAGAATAATTCAAAAATTGCTAAAAGTTCGATGTTTGACCTGTTGCATACGGCCATTTTTAAACTAATACACCAAACTAAGCTTCGTTCGAGTGCTTTAGTCAACTAGACATGCGCTTTAGAAACTTCCTTACTAGACTATAGTTGACACACGAACTCAACCTTAAATGTGTTACTTTTTTTGGATCTCGAGCAGCCTCTATAACAAGGCAGAGCGCATGCGCGCAGCAAATTTACATAATTGAGATCGGAAAACAGAAGGGAGGAAACTCGGAATATGTAACGAAAACTAGTAGTGCTATTCTCAGATGCAGAAATTTATGCATAATTCAATAATTTCTATTTTACAAAGCAGAAGAATTAATAAGTTTGCTATTAACTTTGCAATTAGTTTTTATTTGTTCATTTAATCTTTTATTCATTCATTCATTTATTTTTTTAATTGTAATAATTATTAATAAGATACTTAACTTATTTATTCATTAGGAAATTTATTAGTTTGTTTCTTTATGAATACATTCTTTTTTTTTCATTAATTAATTATTCTAATGAGTAATGAAATCTTCTATTAATTAATTAATTATGGTTTATTTAATATTTCTAATAATTAAGTAAATGTTTGATTTACTAATAGATAATTTATTTATTTATTTATAATATTCATTCCTTTTTATAATTATTCTTTAAAAATTAGTCAATTAATTAATTCATTTATTATTTAAATTATCTTTTTATTTATTTTGTTATTTACTTATTTATTAATTTTTTGTTTTATTTATTTATCTATTCACCCTTACCAAAATATTGACCTTCTGGCAACATCTTCTGGCTTTATTGCCGCAATATTGCAGCAACATTCTGGCAATACATTGCCGCAATATTGCGGTTATATCGTTTTTCGTATGTAAATTAGTTTTGCGGCAATATTGCCAGAAAGGGGTTGCGGCAATATTGCTGCAAATCATGACCAAAATATTGATCTTCTGGCAACATCTTCCGGCATTATTGCCGCAATATTGCGGCTATAACGTTTTTCGTATGTTAATTAGTTTTGCGGCAATATTGCCAGAAAGGGGTTGCGGCAATATTGCTGCAAATCATGACCAAAATATTGATCTTCTGGCAACATCTTCCGGCATTATTGCCGCAATATTGCGGCTATAACGTTTTTCGTATGTTAATTAGTTTTGCGGCAATATTGCCAGAAAGGGGTTGCGGCAATATTGCTGCAAATCATGACCAAAATATTGATCTTCTGGCGACATCTTCCGGCATTATTGCCGCAATATTGCGGCTATAACGTTTTTCGTATGTTAATTAGTTTTGCGGCAATATTGCCAGAAAGGGGTTGCGGCAATATTGCTGCAAATCATGACCAAAATATTGATCTTCTGGCAACATCTTTCGGCATTATTGCCGCAATATTGCGGCTATATCGTTTTTCGTATGTTAATTAGTTTTGCGGCAATATTGCCAGAAAGGGGTTGCGGCAATATTGCTGCAAATCATGACCATAATATTGATCTTCTGGCAACATCTTCCGGCATTATTGCCGCAATATTGCGGCAATATCGTTTTTCGTATGTAAGTTAGATATAAGTTGGTATTCAATAGAAATAATGATCTATCAATCTAACAATTAACAAACTGTGCTGAGGAATATAACAAACAATAGCAAGCCACAGGGTCAATAAGAAATAGCTACTTCTGCTATTCTTTGAACAGATAGAAAATTATGTTGATCATCATAATGAAAATCAAGATATGTTTGTGAAACACTGTGCGCCTGGTGGCAATAAAGTTTGAAAAAGCTATTTATAGCATATGGGTCACAGTCATGGTCATAAGGTCATTGATCTTGGTGTCATTTGAAAGAACTTAATTAGTGGAGTATGCATACTAAATATGAAGTCTCTATCTCTTATAGTTCAAAATTTATGGCAGAGGATCAAAATGGCTATTTTTAGCATATGGGTCACAGTAAAGTCATATTGTCATTGACCTTGGTGTTACTTGAAAGAGTTTAATTAGTGAAGGGTGCATACCAAATATGAATTCTCCATCTTTTATGACTCAAAAGTTATGTCGAAGTTTCAAAAAATCTATTTTAAGTATATGGTCATAGTCAAGGTCCCAAGGTCATTGACCTTGGTGTTATTTGAAAGAGCTTAATTAATGAAGGGTGCATACGTAATACAAGTTCTCTATCTTTTATGGCTCAAGATTTATGTCCAAGATTCAAAAAATCTATTTTAAGGATATGGGTCACAGCCAAGGTCTCAAGGTCATTGACCTTCAGGTGTCTTTTGAAAAAGCTTAATTAGTGAATTATGCATACTAAATATAAAGTCTCTATCTTTCATTAATTTTAAGTTATGATGAATATTCGAAAAAGCTATTTTAGCATACAGGTCAAGGTCAAGGTCACAAGGTCATTGACCTTGATGTCATTTGAAAGAACTTAATTAGTGGAGTAGACTTACCAAATATGAAATCTTTATCTCTCATTGGTTCAAAAGTAATGGTGAAGGTTAAAGTTTACAAACAAACAGACAGGACAAAAACAATATGTACTCCCGATCTATCGAGATGGGCGCATAAAAAATGTTTATAGAAACAATATTAATATGCCACTGTGAAAATGTCCAGCAACTCTGCATTAATTTTCAAATAACATGCTTTAATTCATCTTTTCCTGCTACTCTAGGATATATAGACATACAAGTCTAGTATGCATGCATCACAAGCACTAATTGAAACGCATATAATTTTTCCAATTTTATCTCCATTGAATCATTCATCTCAAAAAGAATATTGGTTTTGACTCACCAAGTCTGATGATATGGAAACAGAGTACACATTCCTATAATTCTGCTTAAATTCTTTTTTCTAGTCATTCCACACCATGCTGTCTTACTACTCGTCTTGACTAATCCCACTGTACACAATTAACAACTCTAATCAACTTGATACAAGTCAGTAATGAAGCAAAACAAATTGCTTGCCTTTGAATTCCCTCCACTTTATTAAAAAAGAGGAAGTAAATGACTGAGAATGCTCAACAAATGGCTCATGAGTAATCCTAGATGTTGCCAGAAAGTTTTTTTCTGGCAGTATTGCCAGAATGTCACCGGAAGTTGTTGCTGCTAGCGGTGATATTTCATTTTTTCTGGCAGTTATTGCCAGAATGTCACCAGAAGTTGTTGCCGCTAGCGGTGATATTTCACTAACCCAAAAAGCTTGTTTCTGGTGACAAAAATGTGTTGCCGCAATGTTGCAGCAATATAGCAGCAAATTTTGCTGCAATAATTTTACTTTGGTAAGGGCATACTATTTTTGTTATAGACAGGTTCTGTTTATGTATTGCCAGGGTTTGTATACCCATCACAAAGGTCTATATACCCATCACCAGGGTCCATATTATCTATCACCAGGGATTGTATACCCATCACCAGGGTCTGTATTATTTATCACCAGGGATTGTATACCTATCACCAGGGTTTGTATACCCATGTATATACCCATCACCAGGGTCTGTATTATTTATCACCAGGGATTGTATACCTATCACCAGGGTCCATATTATCTATCACCAGGGTTTATATACCCATCACCAGGGTCTATATTATCTGTCACCAGGGTCTATATACCCATCACCAGGGTCTGTATTACCCATCACCAGGGTCTGTATACCCATCACCAGGGTTTGTATACCCATCACCAGGGTCTATATACCCATCACCAGGGTCTAAATAATCTATCACAAGGGTTTGTTTCCCATCACCAGGGTTTATATACCCATCATCAGGGTCTATATACCCATCACCAAGGTCTCTGTTATCCATCACCAGGGTCTGTATACCTATCACCAGGGTCTGTATTATCCATCACCAGGGTCTATATACCCATCACAAGGGTCTGTATTACCCATCACTAGGGTCTGTATTACCCATCACCAGGGTCTGTATACCTATCACCAGGGTCTGTATTACCCCTCACTTGGGTCTGTATTACCCATCTCCAGGGTCTGTATTACCCATCACCAGGGTTTGTATACCCATCACCAGGATCTATATACCCATCACTAGGGTTTGTATACCCATCACCAGGGTCTATATACCCATCACCAGGGTCTGTATACCCATCGCCAGGGTCTATATACCCATCACCAGGATCTGTATACCTATCACCAGGGTTTGTATTACCCATCACCAGGGTCTATATACCCATCACCAGGATCTATATACCCATCACCAGGATCTATATACCCATCACCAGGGTTTGTATACCCATCACCAGGGTCTGTATACCCATCACCAGGATCTGTATACCTATCACCAGGGTCTGTATTACCCATCACCAGGGTCTATATACCCATCACCATGATCTATATACCCATCACCAGGGTTTGTATACCCATCACCAGGGTTTGTATACCCATCACCAGGGTCTATATACCCATCACCAGGGTCTGTATACCCATCACCAGGGTCTTTATTACCCATCACCAGAGTTTGTATACCCATCACCAGGGTCTGTATACCCATCACCAGGGTCTATATACCCATCACCAGGGTCTATATACCCATCACCAGGGTATATATACCCATCACCAGGGTCTGTATTACCCATCACCAGGGTCTATATACCCATCACCAGGGTCTGTATTATCTATCACCAGGGTCTATATACCCATCACCAGGGTCTGTATTACCAATCACCAGGGTCTATATACCCATCACCAGGATCTTTATTCACCATTACCAGGTTCTCTATACCACTCTACAGGTTCTATATACCCATCACTAGAGTAATTACCGCTATTATTGCAAATCATCAAGGTTTGTATATTTATATCTAGGGTAGGTATTACCTGTCACGTACCAGGGTCTACTTACTTATTACCAGTCTCTGTATATTGATCACTTTTCACTATATTAACAATGGTGTATCAGAAAGAGTCTATGTGTATTTGCAAGGGTTTGATTTTTAATATAACCAAGAGTATGTGCATCGCAGAGGGTCGTTGTCAAGGGTCTCGGTATCAACAAGGGTCTATGACTCTTGTGTATCACGTCTGTGTATCACGCAGGGTCTATGTACTACGCAGGGTCTTTGTCACCAAGGGTCTATGTATCATAAAAAGTATGTATA